GAACTCTGACTTTGACTAATTTTACACAAGCCTTTGATAAATGCTTATGATGTTTTGGCTTTCCTTAATAAGGAGAGTGTGTGGAATGTTGCAAAGAGAGGCAGGATGATCCAAACTGAAAGGGACGAGTTGCCAAGGCAGAATATCAGGCATACAAGTTGCAAGTGCAAAGGTATTCCATGTTACAATGACAATCATAATAAAAATCCATAAAGGTCAGCAACAGAAGGTAAGACAGGTGCTGAGAAACCAACTGAATGGTAGGAATAATATCTAAGCCATAAATACATTGACTTATCGTCAGATATCCAGGCAGAATAATAAGCTGGCCACAGAAGAACATAGATACCACTGATCTCAAGACACAAATAGCCCTCACAATCCACAGAGGACTATATCTGATGTCCAGAACCCTGAGGCTCTGTGAGTAATGGAAAGATTAGTTAGTGTCAGGGCCAGAGTCCAGGATGAAACAAGGAAGGAGCACGAGAAAACTGAGAAGTATCAGGGCCTAAAAGAACAGCTGGAGCAGATGTGAAAGGTCAAGTCCAAAATTGTGACAAAGAAGTGTCACAAAAAGTGTGACTCCAGCAGTTTCCAGGCACATCAGAAGTCTGCTTTGATAAAACTGGAAACCTCTTCACAGGGTAATCAGTGGAATTGTAGTTTTTAGCACTTCATTTATCTAGCCACCTTTTGTAGTCTTAGTCTGCATGTGTAAGAAAGCTGGATTTTCTGGTAACCATAAAACAAATTTCATTCCATCTAAATATGGCAGCACCGGCTCACATTTTGTATGCACTTATTTACATGGCCACTGAGGTTGCTTAACTATGTTATACTGTATACTGTTCTCCTGGCTGCTGAGATAGGGAAGAAGCTCCACATGCTGGTATAGACGACTGACCACAACCACAGTGACACACACTCAACCAGCTACAACTGAGACTAAACACACAATGACAACCAGACAAATGCATGTATACGTGCCCCATTCTGTGGTCCTGTCCATCTTATACCTGACCCCTCCCAGATCGATGCCTTCATAGAATATCTGCTATTTATAACACTTCGAATACAAAGCCAAAAAATACTCTGCTTCCCGTTCTACTTTTAAGTATCCTAGGAACCACAAGTAAGCAGTCTGAGAGTGAAGTACTCCATTTGAATAATAAGGTGCTATAAGGTCTTTAAGATATGAAGAGGCCTGATTATTCAAGATTTTGTATGTGAAGAGACAGATTTTAAATCCAGCTCTGAATTTAGCAGAGAACATAATATAGGACAAATCTGCTCTTGCTTTCATGTTGCAGTTAGTAGAGTTCTGGATCAACTGAAGGTTTTTCAGGAGGTTTGTAAAACATGAATTACAATAGTTTATTTTCGAATAAATTAATGCATGAAGTGACCTATCAGCATCATTCTGAGACAGGATGTTTCTAGTTTTAGTTGAGCAAATGAATGACAGTAGTTATGATCAAAATGACTCCAAGATTTCTCACAGTGTTACTGCAGGCCAGGGTAATGTCATATATCTTTTACATCGATAAAAAAAAAGCCTGTAATTTCACTTCTTTTCTTTTAGTGACACTTACTTTTGTGAATTTGATAAGTTCTTGATTGATTTCTTCTCTTCCCCAGTGCACTATGGCCCCTCAGTTTGTCTGAGCCAGCCATTGGCCTCCAGAGCAACAGATAGAAGAGGAGAAAGTCCAGCATCAGTCTCACATGTGTCTGTCACAATTCTCCCTGTAAAAACTAGGCTTACAGGTCCTGCAAAGGAAGATTTCCCTGTCAACACTGATACTGATATTGCTCTTGTACACTCGAGACCAGGTCAAGGTGAACATTCAGCAAATACGTGCACAAAAAGATGAGCATGCAAAAAGAAAAAGCACGTGGCAACATCATCAGCTGATCGACCAGCAGCCTTCTTTGGAGAGCCTAGAGACATCACAGAAAGAAGAAAGCAAATAGAGTTAGAAGTGCTTATTTAAATGTGTATGTATCCAGGAGAAAGATCTCTCTGTTAACTAACCTCTAATATCGTGTCTGAGTCGAGGCCTTAGTCAGGAAGATGCCAAGAATCCAACGGTCAATCTTCGTGCTCCAGAGTGCTCTCAACCTCAGACCTCCAAACAGGACAATGACCCTAAGGACTCAACACATGAGTGGCTTCAGGACCACTCTGTGAATGTTCTTAAGTGTCCCAGACAGAGACACGCTTGAACCCAATTGAACATCTCTGGAGAGATCTGAAAATGGCTGCACCAACCGTCCGTTTCCACAAATAAATGCTATGTTCTTTTGACCTTTCACCCTCTTGATCCTCCCATTTAGTTTGTGTTAATATGGTGGTGAATGTGTACCCAGACTATCCCAGAGCCAATGAACCAACCACCAGGAAAACAACTGACCCCCCCCCTGTGTGCACATTTATGAATTGTGGCTTTGCTTCACGTAACAAACAAATACTTCAAAACAAAGTGAGCTTATTATCTAATTACTTATAGTAATTTCATTAAAATGTGCTTTTAAGAGGCTGAATTTAAAAACCTGATGCTGAATGTGACAGTGTTCTGAAATTTACAGTCACTTAGGCTGCTAGAGAAAGAATAAAGAATGAAGAAAGAATGAGGAATGAAGAAAGAATAAATAGCTAGCTCTAGTGTTGTTAATAAGAAAAGTATACCGTATTCAGTTTCAGTTTCTATTTATGATATTGAATGTAAGATTCGGTTTATAATTTTTAAATGTATTTTCATATGTGTGATCTTATCTTTCGTGTGCTCTGTCCAATCTCCTCTGACCCCAGATCCCACCAAGTTATAAATGCATGCTCAACTGTAGGACAGCAGTGTGAGATTAGTTGCTGCTTTGATTACTCGCCATCATTTTTTACCTTTTTGCTGTTTTTATTGAACAAACATTAAGCTTTGTCCTTGATTTAACTCAGTGCCAAGAGTAGATCATATGACCTTCAACAAACTGGTTGCACATACTGATCCAAAAGAAGAGATCGATTGCATGAGTGATTATCTAACGACTGATAAGCTCCGTTGTGCAAGTGTGCACTGTAAATGTTTG